TCAAGATCCAGAAATACTATATATACATGTCAATTCCAAATCATCTTAAGAAGCTTCCATTTGTATATCGTCCATTTTTTGCACAAAATGTTCTTATACATGTAGTGTACCTTATATACTACCTATCTTGTTATTCAAAGAACCGAGCGAGCTTAGATAAACGCCCAACTCTGAGAACTGCTATTTATACCAACAAATCCCGTGACCCTAATTTTGAACACGCGACAACTACGGCCGCACATAAGTATAATGATGTTTCGGGGGTCTGTGTTTGCTCTGCTCTTATTTTGTATTATTTTATGGATTTGAGGCTGAATACTGTTCGTTATCTCCATATCCTTCCTTAAATTAATCTAATCAAGTGTGTTCTTCGTATATTGATTGAACATTCTCTCTAGCTGCAAAAAAATGTCTTGACAGACTGAAGAGCTGAAGAGCTACAGTGCCTCCTATATTAAATCTGTGATGAAACTGTAGCTCGACTGGCTTGCATTTTTTAAGCAAAGGAAGAGAAAAGAAGCATTTGCAATTAAAACTATGCAAAATAAATAAATAAAATAATGGTCCTTAATTTAATTATTGCAATCTGATTAAAAACAGGAGGATTAATCTTTTGAAACAATTTATAACAAAAATTCCATTATAGTAGCCATGCTAACACTATTTATCAAAATCTGAATTCCAAGAGTTTAAGTGTAGACTACTGTGTTCCAAGTTTTATTAAAATTGACATTTTGAGATTATTCATCAAAATCAAAAACCGATCATGTGCTTAATCATGTATTTTAGTGTAGTCTACTTCAAAATCAAAAACCAGTTCACCATATTTTGTATCAGGGTAGTATACTTGTTGGCAAAGTAACAGGTATATTGCTAACGAACTAAAATTGTAGGTGTGGTAGTGTTAAAAATCGTCACAGAAATTTCTTTTTTAGTAACTATTCCTCAAAATCTAAAACTGATGCTCTAAATAATGTATACTCCCCGTCAATGAAAATGCAACACCCTAATTTTAGATGAAAATTATGTACAGGATATAACTATGTACCAAAAAATGTTCGGACAACTTTAACTTTGCCAAATCAGTTTTTTTACGGGTGAATGATTTTCACTTCATTACCGGAAGTTGATTTTAGCCCTCTTAACAGAAATTAAATATTAGCAATTTTTATAAAATTTTTGATAATATTTTGGTTTTTAAGGTTTTGTACCTGTTTATCATAAGTATTGTACTTAAATGCCGGGAAAAAATATTTCTTTCTTTTTCAGATGTGATTTTCTGTACTTCCTCAAAATTACCAAAAGCACGCATTTCATTGCTAATGCTGGAAATTCTCAAAAAAAAGAAAAAGGAGAGGTACAGATGCAAATATACGTTACATAACGACATTTTAGGCTCAAGTGTTTCAAAAGCATGAATGACAGTTCATTGACCGGAAGTTTAAGGGTTACTACACTGCGCTAAGTTAGAGAAAATTCGACCTCAGTATCTGAACAACAGACAATTAAAAATGCTCAAGAATATTTATTTCGCTCAGATAAAGACATTGATAAACCTATTGCAAGGTAGAAATCGGACTGCGTACACTGTATGTTGTACATGGCGGATTAGCATGTTTTGATTAAATGGTCGGAAGGGGGGTGTTTTATTTAAATGTTATCTGTTAAGAGGGCTAAAAAATCAACTTTCGTTAATGGAATGAAAAACATTCAACCATTAAATAACTGATTTGGCAAAGTAAAAGATGTCCTAACTTGTTTGGTACATAGTTATATCCCGTATATAATTTTTCACCTTAAACATGTTAAAAATAGAGTGTTGCGTTTTCATTGACGGGGAGTATATTATAGTCTAGTCTAAGCCTGTGCCAAGTTAAATTGAACGCGGATCAAACCAAACCTATAGGAGGAGTAGTTTACAGAAAGATGGACGAACGTACGACGGACACCTTACCAGTAAAGCTAAATTCAAATCTTCATCGCGCTTAAAAAGATGCGCACAATTCTGGGGTTTTTTTGCGCCAGATCATACATTTATCTCATTTGCACAACTTGACTTCCTAAAAATTAATATATTGCAAAGACTACTCTTTACGATGCGTGCACGCATTTAACCGAATTGTTTTCCTACCCCAAATAGCTGTTTTAATTTTCAAAAGTCTCAATTTCAAACCAATGAGGGCTATTAGGAACGGTTTCAAGGATGATATGTGGTGGAAGTAGTAAAAGAATAAGTTTATTAGGGTTAACCCTAACCCTATTATTCATAATATAAAAAAGCGTCAACTGATCCAAACCAGGTTATACTCGAATAAATTGGCCAAGAATTAGAGTCATTCTTTATAATTTAATTTTAAAATAATTAAAGCAATTGTGGATGTAAAATTGTGTTGCTTTTTATTACTTCAAATTTACCGCTCAATAATACAACCTTGGTAACGAAAATGCTGGGAAACGAGGGAAAGTAATATCTGATTCATAGACTTAGCAGCCATGATGTTTGTACATGAGGTAAGATCGAGCTAATGTTTGAAGTTAAAGGTACATTTATTAAATTTGGAAACTTCCATGATCCCGAGGACTGGAAATGAAAGGATTGCATAGATACAAATGATTCAGCCGGTTGTCAAGGGGGTGTGTCCCCATATCAAACCAGATTACACAGAATAATTTGCGTTCCTTTTTGGAAATCAATCAATGAGAGGCTAGAATACAAATAAAATTAAATTATATATGAAAAGAACAATTTGTTGTCATACTCACTGTATACAAAGTGCTAATCGAAAATCGACTTGATTTGGATCACTAGCTATATTTGTTTGGATCATTCGAAGTTTCTGTCTGCACATTTAGACAAAAAATGTCTTTTATATACGGTTTTTTACTAATAATAAAACTACTTCAACCAATATGAGACTTCTTCTTGGTATATTTAAAGATTATTAGGTTTTTGTGTCACCCACCCTTCCTTAAACATCGTTAGCACGCGTTTTTCACGCATCTGATGGTCATTTTTCGACTAATCAGCCACTTGATAGGACTCTTGACATTACTTCAATAAAACATTTATTGTTTTGTTTAATATAAATCCTAATCAAACGTTAGCTATCAAATTTGACCACAAGGTCTTCGTTATATCTTGACAATCACATCAAATATGCACCTACCCAACTTTTCCGGAGCTATTTTTGGTTTGCGTAGAAAATAATCAGAAGGCTATCTTTGTTGTCATGACAGCTATACTTTTTTCTAGTATACATATAGCAATTAGGCCTAGTGCAATTAGTGAAATAATTTATTCAGAGAATCAGGTGCAGGTGAACATAATTAAGTTTACAGTAATTCTTTACAATATGGATCTCAGTCAATGAAAGAACTATAAATGAAATAAAAAAATCTGCATTAAATGTTTGAGAGTCAGCTTATAATGTTGAAGTATTAATAAACAATGACATAGCATCACTGAAGTATGATTCCATTGCATCAGGATATAGTGATGGAGTATTTATGATTGTTAAACACTTAAGACAGCCGGTCATTCTATACCACATGTATTAAAAAATTGAAAACGGTATATTTTCAATAGAGAGACTTTATATTCCTGTGTTTTTTTTCTAAATGGAGTCTGGACCCATTCTATTTAAAAGTCGAATATTTCTGGAATGTTAAAAAAGTGAGGATAATGGGCATTGATTTATGTCGAAAAATTTACAAATACAAATCTGTGAGCAGGGCATAAATACGGATCCTTATTGATCAAGTAAACGGAGCATTTCGTGAACAAATTTAGTATAAAAACAAAGGTCTAACAGTTGGGTGAAAGAAGCAAGCCAAAAAAAAACGAACCAGGATAAATTAAATAATAGGTGGAAAAATATTTTTTGTCTCAACAATTCATTTTTTTTAAAGCAAACTGACACACAACCAACAAGAAGACACCGTAGCGTATAGTGGTTAACGCATTCAGTCTCATGCCTATCATGAGCTTTGGAGAGAGTTCGAATACTAGTAGTTTGTGAAGCCTTTATTTTTCTTTTTACATACCTTTAAAACATTAGTGAAAATATATAACGTGTATTTATCAATACATTGTAAGTTATTTAAAGACATAAATTTGAGAAAGTGTCTTTGGATTATATCCCCCTCCCCTATATAAGCCACCATTCTTCAAGAAGTATTCTATGCAAATCAAACATAGCATTTCTGTATCAATCGCGATAAAATGCAAATCAAGTATAGCACAAACACCAGCAATGATTGCACATTTCATCAAATTCTATAATTATTTATTTCTGTTTAACTTCTTTTGACTGATAAATGTTTCTCTTGTGATTATGAATGCCAATATGTTTTAAAAACTGTTAAAACCACAATAATTTTATCAAAAATCAATAAATCTTGATTTCAAGCAAATCACAAAAAGGATCCGAAAAAAGTATAGCAATCGCAAAAATATGTTGCAAACATATAATAGCATTCACTCAAAACAAGAATAGCTCAATTTCTCAAAAAAGCGTAATGTATAGAAATCAGATGATGTTTCGTGGGTGAATTGAGGAGAAAACGTATATACAATAACTTTTACAACAGAATATACTTTGAAAAAATTAAGAACAATTGAAATAATTCAAAATGAGTGAAAATAGCATTTTAACTTAGTAAATGAGAACGGTATCGGATTTCTAACATGTTTCAACTTAAAAATTTCCTCAAATATATTTACATTGATTCTACAAAGATTTAATAAGTTTCCAAATTTCTTAAGGTTACTTTTACCCATTTTTGCTTGCAGAACTTTCTTTTTTACCCATAATGCATCAGAGTACCCAAAGCAATATAGCTAGTGATCCAAATCAAGTAGATTTTCGATTAGCACTTTGCATACAGTGATACTGATATTAATCCACCTAGCTCATGTCTGGGGAGCCAAAAGTCCTGACGTTTAATTAACAGTCATCAGGAAAGGGGACACACTAACAAAGTAATTTAAAAACATGTACCTTTTAGTAGAGCCATTCCGACCGTGGGATTTTCATTGGGGTTTTCATGTATCTACAAAATAAAATTTTTCAATACTCCACTAGCATTGATATATAATTTATATATTGTCCTCTTGTACACAGTTAGAAGCATCAAAATATGTCGACTTTCACGAAAAAATACAAATTGCCTGTACGAAGTCTGTAAGTCACATATAAAATAGACAGAAAAAATCATTAAAACACTCATATTGTTGGTCGAAAACAAAATTTCTACGAAAAAATACAAATTTCCTGTACGAAGTCTGTAAGTCACATATAAATAAGACACAAAAGATCATTAAAACACTCATATTGTTCGTCGAAAACAACTTGTTTAGCAAGTTTTGATTTAAAATGGAGAAATACTGCAGGAGGAGTTTGATTAAATGCATTTAAGTGGTACAATTCCGATTGAATGACTCTTCTTGAGCTTTCTGTTCAACATAAATGTTACAAAAAGGAGTATATGGAAATAACGAACAGTATTCAATATCAAAGTCCATAAAACAATACAAAATAGGAGTAGAGCAAATAAGGACCTCCAAAACATCAGAGGTGGGATCAGGTGCCATGGAAGATTGAGCATCCCCTGCTGAACGGTCTCATCCATCGTGTGCTCCTTGCCATGGCCGGGAAATAACGGAATAATCGTCATCAATTCAGTTTATAAATAATGGACTAACAATAAGTATGAAAAACGTCAGTCAGCATTTGACTCAGTGATAAATTGTATTTGCTGACAAGATCATTGTATCGACCAAAGAAATGATGACTTTAAACGAGACTGCTGATATTCTTGTTTCATTATCTTCCTAGTCAATAATTTACCTCATTTTAGAAATTGTTCATACGTAGAGCATGCTCTTGCATATCGAATCAACTGAGATATATATACTCCGTATGCAGGTGATGAAGGTATATTGCTGCACAAGTAAGGGAAGTGGACTATAGAAAAGTTTAAGTCATCACGTCATCACATATAGCTTAGTCATCACGTGTATCATACAGCATGGTTGTTAAATTACCATTAACGTCTTTTTCAAGTAAAATAGCCAAGTATGAAACAGATGCGTCAGACTCTGTGGTATCTTTTATCTCAAGCTCACCAGGATATATCGTATTGACGTAGGAATGGAAATTACCATTGTTAATTGACAATACGTCGTCGATATATATATAAATGTCGAGTTGAAGTCCACAGCAAGTGTTTTCTTCTTTCCACGCATAAGATTTTGCACAAATTCTGCTTCACATGAATATAAAAATAGGTATGCTAATCACGGAACGCAATTGGTACCCATGGGAATTCCAATAGATTGTTGGAAGACCTGGTCTCCAAAAACTACATAGATATTGTCAGTCAGAAATATGGAGATAACGAACATTAATCAGCATCAAAATTTCCTTAAAAACCATACAAATCGGATAAAGAGCAAACACAGACCTTTATAACTATTGACATCAGAGGTGGAATCAGGAGCCGACAAATTAAGATTCGACTTAGCCATAGACAGTACATGCTGACAAGAGCATTGCATCAACGATAGAACTTGGAAAATTTTGACTTTAACAAGTGAGTGTTGATATTTATGCTTGTTTCAATTTGTTTGTCAATTAGTTGTCTCATGTTGAAAATTCTCCCTTGAAGAACTTGCTCTTGGGCATCAAATTATTAAATGTATATTTGTTGTTTGTTTGCTGTTTAACTCATATGAAGACGCCTCCACTTGCCGTTGGAGGGCTACATGTTCATTGTGGCATGTCTTTCGGATAAGACCGTGTAAACCGAGGCCCTGTGTAAAACCAGGTGCTGGCACGAAAGATCCTTCACTGCTCAATGGCTCCGAGTGGCAAGCTCGAGTATAGAAAAAAATTTGTAGCTCTCCATCGGCAAGTGGTGGCGTCTGCATATGAGTGAAAAAGTCTCGAGAGGGATGTAAAATAACACATTCAATCAATCAATTATGTATACCTATACTGGCACTCAGAACCTTAAATAGTGAGGGATCTCTTTCGTACAAACACCACAACCTCGGTATATACAGTCTCATCCCTGCAGTTGATTCCATCCCGCAATGTAAGGATCAGATTCTTATTCAGCGACTCTTAAGCTTGCATTAGCTCTTACCACCCTCGCACTGCAAGGGGTCAAGTTGCGTCGTGTTTTAAACTTAGGGTCCCTGGCATTCCAAGGATGCTGCTTCACGAGGGCGACTTGTAATATTTGACTTGGAGAGACATATGCCGATGAATAGAACATATTCATACATGTAGGAGGCTGCTGTTAGGAAAGTTTAGTCATAAAGCTTATCATAAAGATTTGTCACTAAGTTACCATTCAAGTCTTTTTCTAGTACAATATCCAAATATTAAAATTTGTGTCAAACTTTTAGGTATTTTTTTTTATTTATTTCAATTTCACTGATACCCGTATAGCGGGTTTCTTTAGCGGGTGTAATATTTGGCGTTTTGCAGCAGCTTCAAAGATATGCTAATAATTTTGTAGGACACAGAGTTCCGTTACATTGCAAAAGAGAGGAAATTCGTTCTTTAGATATGTTCGTACCGATTTAAACAAACGATTGAGTAAAAACTATACCAAAAGAAAGTGATATTACTTATACAACAGACTTATCTGTGTTATTATGCGCTTTTTCTTTTATTTAGTAGTGATAATGGAAGGTGCAAATTTGGCGATGAAAAGTTTAGAGGCTTCCTACAAAACCGCTAAAATAAGCCATCGTCAGCACCCCGTTAAAAATACCCGTTATGCGTTATATATCCAAGCGACATATTTAACGGGCTTTTGGCTTCTTTTGAGGGGGGTGGGTGGGTTGATTTGATAATTTTAATCGCTAAAATAGGCAGTACTCTCCTTAGTGTCTATTTACAAACCTTGTGTCCGCTAAAATAAATTACGACAAAATTACTGGAATACCTTTGAGAAGGCAAAAAGCCAAATTTTACACCCGCCAAGAAAACCCGCTATACGGTAATACATGTACGTAGTCGAATTCGATTTTCTATTCTTTTATTTATTTATTTATTTATTTATTTATTTATTCATTTATTTACTTATTTATTTTTGGAAAAAGCATCTCTCTATGAAGTGAACAAGCTTAAAATTCTCATTCTATTTATATACAGAACTAGAGGCGTTGTGAGCAGTGAGCTTACTAAATGATACCCCCGCCCCCATATGATTATAATAGCGAAGTCCATATTTTGCTCGGGAGAAATAAGTGTCAGGTTAGAAAGTAAAAAAGGAGGTGCATAATGACACTATGTAACAAAGATTCTGTGAATGTTTCATTAAATTTCCTTAGGTGGTATAAGAAAAGTTGCGGTTAAGATGGATACCGCAAAACGTAACGGACGGACGGGCGTACAGACAGATGGGTGGACACCCCGAATACTATATACCCTGCCACTTTTCAATCGGGGGTAAAATAATGGAAAATAATGAATGCTGTGTATTCACATTACTTTTTTTCTATTTTGTAAATTGTAATTAGAAATATTTCTTGGTCTACTTTCAGTGTATTGATAACGAATTCGCGTGTTAATTGTACATGTGACGAATGACCTGGTTGATAGGTGCTTCGCAAATTCTATATAACACGTGTTCTGTTGTTTATTCTCTAAGATGCGTAGAATAGAAACATTTTATATTCGGATGAGTGAAACAAAAAAGAACATAATTCTATATATACAGTAGCCAAACCAATTTACCACAGGGTAAATGTATGTTCTGTGATAACTTGAATAGGCATGACCCAAAAAAAACCCTTTTCGTTGCAATGTCAGAGAAATAAAAGAGCAGAAAAGTGTCATATTTTCTCTTTAAATTCACAAAAATTTTGATTACACAAATGTGCTGAAATTAATACAATATTATATTGTTTCAGCACAATTTGCGTTGCTAGTCTCAGAGAATTGGGTATCTTAAAACATTGCAAGGGATATTACTTTCCATATTCTAAAGAAACGCTGCAAACAAAAGAAAAATACCACTTCAATGCGCGTCATAGAATTTCTAAAAACTTTCTGGTCTTTTGAATGGTAGAGTTAAAATGGAGATTGCAGATAATCAAAATACATGTAATAATGATAATAACAAGAGGCCCAGGGGCCACATCGCTCACATGAGCAACTGGCTATGTAAAACAAAGCAACAAGAGATGTTTGTAAAACACTTATCCACCCTCCCCACAAATTGGAAGTTTTCTAAGTCCAAGGGGCATAACGCTGTCAATTATGGTGCGATCGTACCCAAAACAGAACTTGACCTAGATATTCATCTGACTAATCTGCATACTAAATTCCATTTCAATATGTGCAACCTCTCAAAAGAAAATGAACGGAAACTGCAAATAATTGGAATTTTTCTAAGTCCAAAGGGCATAACTCTGTCAATTATGGTGCGATCGTACCCAAAACAGAACTTGACCTAGATATTCATCTGACTAAGCTTTATACTAAATTTCAATTGAATGTGTGCAACCTCTCCAAAGAAAATGAACGGAAACTGCAAATAGTTGGAATTTTTCTAAGTCCAAGGGGCATAACTCTGTCAATTATGGTGCGATCGTATCCAAAACAAAACTTGACCTAAATATTCATCTGATATACCTGTATACCAAATTTCATTTCAGTATGTACAACGGTTGTGAGGAAAATGAACGGAAACTAAATGGACCGACAGACAGCAGCAAAGCAATATGCCCTCCCTTCTTCGAAGGGGGGCATAAAAATCTTATTAGTGTTGAAAAGTTTAAATATAAAAGTGGGGTTCAAGGGAGGAGGGGGGTATTTGAACAAACTTCAATCTATACTTCCTACAGATACTTTTAAAAAATATGATACATAAAGGTTTTACTGTTTATAAGATGAAAAATGTTATTGAAATAGCCTTTATATACCTTTGTATATTATCCTTTCTATACTCCTGGTTGGTCATGATTTGAACAAACGTGAATCTACACTACCTAATTTCATATAAATATGAACAATCACAGCTTTGCTCTTCTTGAGAAGATTTTTTAAAGATTATTCCTATTTATTTATATATTAAACTTTGATACCCGATTGTGGCCCCACCCTATCCATGGGGGTCATGATTTCAACAAACTTGAATCTACACTACCAGAGGATGCTTCCATGTAATTATGACTTTGATCCCCAATTGTCGCCCCAAACTACCCCCGGTGATCATCATTTAAACAAACTTGAATCTACGAGAGGATGCTTTCACATGAGTTTCATTTTTCATGGCCCGTGCTTCTTGAGTATGTATTCACACTGGTCCCATCCTACGCCGTGTTTTAAAAGATGCCATTAATTTTTCACTAATTCATAATTATCTCCCCTTAGAAGAGGGTATGTCCCTTCAGTTGAACAAATTGGAATCCCCGTCACTCAAGAATACTTTATGGTAAGTTTGGTTGTAATTGGCCCAGTGCTTCTTGAGAAGAAGATGAAAGTGTGAAAAGTTTACGACGACAGACAACGGACAAATTTTGATCAGAAAAGCTCACTTGAGCCTTCGGCTCAGGTGAGCTAGTGATAATAACGTGGAAAAAAAAACAACTAAGAATAACAAAAAATGTCTTCTGCTGAATCGAAGACGAAAGACCTTAAATAATAACAAGAGGCCCATGGGCCATATCGCTCACCTGTGCATTGTGGCTAGGAAAAAAGCAGAAATTAGTTTATTATTGAAAAGTTTAAACCCAAAGGTAGTCCCAACCATTCCTTAAAGAGAAGAAGGTATGATTTGAACAAACTTGAATCTACACTACCTGAAAATGTTTCCATATAAATATGTTAATTATGGCTTTGCTATTCTTGAGAAGATTTTTAAAGAATTTTCCTATATATTTCTAGGTAAAACTTTGGTCGGCCATTCTGCCCCCCCCCCTACCCCCAGGGTCATGATTTGAACAAACTTGAATCTACACTACATGAGGATGCAGGGTTCTCCATGAGCTGTGTTACTGTGTTGCTCCCGACACAGTAAGATCTGTGATAATTAGAAAATCCAAACATAAAAATTCTCTCTTACTAAATTCACACTTCCATGTAACGGTTAATTGGTAGTTGCATTAAAATAGATTGTATTATTTTTTTAAATTAAATACCGGTATGTCTTTTCTATAGAGCCACGGCTTTAGAATTATGTTAGCAATGTAAGTCAAACATAACATCGTACTGAAGTCATTTACCCGGCAATTGATGTAAATAAATTGCTTAAAATTTTCAATATGTTCAAGGAACTCTTAAAAGTATTTAAAATACTATTCTGAAGTTTATTTATTTATTTATTTATTTTTTGTAATTCGGTAATTCGATCAAGAAAACCGAATATGATCAATAATGGCTTTGTTATTCTTGAGAGAAAAGATTTTTAAAGAATTTTCATATATATTTCTAGGTAAAACTTTGGTCAGCCATTGTGGCCCGCCCTACCCCTGGGGGTCATGATTTGAACAAACGTAAATCTACAATGCATGAGGATGCTTCTATATAAATATGATCAATCATGGCTTTGTTATTCTTGAGAAGATTTATAAAGAATTTTCCTATATATTTCTATGTAAAACTTTGGTCAGCCATTGTGGCCCCGCTCTACCCCCGGGCGTCATGACTTGAACAAACTTGAATCTACTCTACCTGAGGATGTTTCCTCATAAGTTTCATCTTTCCTGGCACAGTGGTTCTTGAGAAGAAGATTTTTTAAACATGCCACCAAATTTTCATTATTTCTTAATTATCTCCCCTTAAGTGGGAACGTGGCCCTTCATTTGAACAAAATTAAATCCCCTTCACCCAAGGATACTTTGTGGCAGGTTTGGTTGAAATTGGTCCAGTGGTTCTAGAGAAGAAGTCGAAAATGTGAAAAGTTTACAGAAAGACAGAAGGACGCTGGACAATATGTGATTAGAAAAACTCACTTGAGCTTTCAGCTCAGGTGAGCTAAAAAAAATAAATCGATAAGTATTTAAAAATATTAAATACTTTTTTAATATCCATTATCCAATAACTGGCGGTTATAATTAAATAACATTTATTACCATATATGTACTGGTAAATGAATTATTCATAATAATTGACATACCAAGAAATCGGATCCCATTTCCGTTGTTTCTTCGGTAACATTGTCGAAGGTTAATGGATTATCGTTTCCTCCTCCTTTTTTTAATTAAAAAATTATCACCATGAATAATAATCTTAAGTATTGCTTTATTGAAAAATCAATTATCATGCCATGATACTTATGTATACGTATTCATCATATGTTTCGTCCATTTCCTGAAGTACCCTTTCACAAAATTTATAATATTTATGAAATAATTACACCAGTTGAAAGATAAGAGTTCCTATAAAATAGCATTGAATACAGTTGTAGACTGAAGAAGAACATATGTTCGGAAGCTATAGTCGAAGAATATGTAATTGTCGCATATCTGCGGTGATTTTCTTGATCTTTGTGTGGTGATATATCCCATATCACATATGCGATAATACTTTCCACGCCCCTTCATATATCACTGCAGGAGGCAGAAATCAGGTCATGAGAAAAAAAAAACTAATTTTATTTCACAAGTTCATAACTACAGAAAAATGAAGATGTTAAGCTATTTCTTAGCCTTTAACTAAATTAAAACACATGTATTTAACTCGGTTGAAATTTCACAGTCGTTCAAAAGATTAATCCATTTTGAAATTTTGAAAGTTACGGGAAAATCTCCAATCTTTATATCGTTAAACTCCTTGATATTTGCTTCTGTGATTTCACATTTGTCGAGTGCTAACCTCAAAAATAAATTGTCAAAATCTTCAAACTCGGTTAAAAAGTCGAAGTCAAATCACTAAGAACGTCCGACATGTTGGAGAGCTAGCTTGAAATGAATTTTAAGTTTATGACTGAATATTTTTTTTTAATTTTGACACTCTCAATGAAATTTACGTCATCAAACATGCGACAAGTTGCTTACATCATAGATGCCTCGTACTATTGGTTATATCGTTTTCATGGGGCGTGGAAATCTCCGACGCTCCGCAGTGGCGTAGCTAGGCAGAAAATGAAGTGCATGCTAAAATTGGCAGGGGGTCTGGGGACCGCCCTGAGGCCCCCAGTGGGTCCAGGGCTAAGCCCTGGTGGGGGCTCAGGAGGCGAAGCCCCCGGAAGCTCCTGAATTCTGACGATTGAAATACTAATCAAATCATAAAAGAAAGTGAAGAAAATACATATTTGAAAAGGTTTTAACGTTAAAGTAATACCTTGAAGCATCTATTAACTAAATTGGGGAAATTTGGCCAGTATAAATTGTTTCGGCGATTTTTTGTTGTTGTTGTTGTTGCTTGTATGTTTGTGTTTTGTTTTGGTTGTTTGTTTGTTTGTTTTCCCAAAAAATTAGAAAAAGAAACAATTTATACCAAAGGTTATACATATAATAAAAGTTGTCCAGAACAAATTATTAAATTTACTTAGTAAAGTAAATAATTTGGTAAACGCGGCCTAAGATTTAATTTGATTTGAAAAAATGAGAAGCTTAGAAAGTCACTTAATTTTTTTACGATAGCTACCGTAACAATTTCTGAACTCAGAGTCAGTGACTTTTATATTTTAAAAAATACACAAGAGTACATTTAAAAAATATTAGAAGAATAATTGAATAAATGCACTGATCAGAACCTTTTTTGATACTACAGTGTATAATGGCAATAATGTAATGTACATAAAATGTACATCATGACTGGGAAGGAGTTAATGCGTTTTATGCTGTCAATATAGAGTCATATAGAGTCTTATTTTTAAAATTAATTACCTATAATTAATGCTATATTATTTTATTTATTTATTTTTTTTTTTTTGACAAAATGATGTGCATGCTCGAGCATTCAAGCATACATGGTAGCTACGCCACTGCTCCGCGCCCTCGATTTCCACGCCCCATGAAAACGATATAATCAATACTACTCGGCTTCTATGATGTAACCTATTCTTTAGTAATACAAGGTGTGGACAACTTGAAATACACAATTATGTATGTTGCAAAATGAAAATTGTTTGATATAATACCTCCTTCAGCCATGGTCAATCCTTTTGGAACCTCGAAACAAGGAACGGACAATGCTACAAAAAGACATAAAAAAGGGCCCTTTACAGCATATAAAGAGAAAACAAAAACTTGCCTTATTACTAATACCCGTATTATACAATCAAATTACAGTAATATAATAGGTGTATGAATAATTATTTCGTCTCATTGCACTTATTAGACATCGCAGGTGTCCGCGTGGTGCATGTGCAATGGTTAGAGCCTTTACTAAAGAATCACAGGATACGAAATTGATCTTTATGTCGTCGGCTCAGATCCTGCGGGACGTGGAGACCAGGAACGCACCCTATTACCGGCAACTGGGACCGCCGATGCAACTGTGACAACAGACGGCAAAGTTGTTTTTCGCTACGACAGAAACCTAATTAAAAAAAACTATGATTTTATTATTGAAACAAAATATGTAGAATTTTAATGCTTGTTCAAGAAAAATTGGTCAAACTGAGCTTATGGAATTAAAACTGCTACTCCACGGTCACATTTCTTGTTGCATAAAATAAATTTAGGCTCTCTAAGGCATAACTGCATACTGTGGTTATTCTTTGTTGTTTAAAGTGTGCTGCAAGCCTTTGATTTTGATGGGTCAAGAGATTTTGGCCGTCTTGAACAGCAGACAACTGTTAATATGGCAAACACTGACGACAGATGATGGAAATTGGTAACACCTTTCTTTTAATCTAGATTTCAACTTTTTAAATGATTTTTCATACAAAGTTCATTGACAAAAATATCACTAGGTGTAAGTTATCTCTAAATTATGTAATTTATTATTTCAGAAGAATTATATGAATGCCTAAAAAAAATATAGTCTTTCTGCGAACATTTGCTTCAAGTCTGCAGCAGACATTGCTTCAAACTTGCTACAGACATTGCTGCAATCTTGCTGCAATGAAGCTAAAGAAACCATGACAGACTTTAAAAACCTTTGTGTTTGCAGCAAATTTGCGGCAAGTATCTACATGTAACATCAACAATTAACCATGCAAAAAGAGGTTCATTGTCCGATGAAAGATATGGAGATACTAGTAACGTAAAGTGATTACGCTCAAAACTCTATTTTTGAAACATATGGAGATAACAAACAGTATTCAAGATCAAAAGTCCACAAAACAATATTAAATAGGAGCATCTAGCAAACACGAACCTCCAAAACATCAGAGGTGGGATCAGGTGCCATGGAGGAGTGAGCATCCCCAGCTGACCGGTCACACTCGCTGTATGCTCCTTGTCATGATCGGGAAATAATAGAAAAATTCGTCGTCGATTCAGTGTATAAATAATGGACTAACAATTAGTATGAAAAAAGTCAGTCAGCATTTGAATCGATGATAATTGTGTTTGCTGACAAGGTCATTCTATAAAAATAATGAAATGATGACTTTTTAAACAAGACATATGATATTCTTATTTCATCAACTTGTTTGTCAATAATTTACCTCATTTTAGAAATTGTACTCACGTTGAGCATGCTCTTGCGTATCGAATCAACTGAGAGTTATAAACCCTGTATGTAGGTGATGAGGGTATATTGCTGCATAAGTAAGGGAAGTTGACGGGTGAAAACTTAAAGCTGTCACGTTTATCATAAAAATAAAACAAAACTATGTCTTATCAGCCAGATGTTGTGCGCGCCATTGTATATATATATATATATACCTACTTCCAGAATTAGGCTTCTTTTGTTGCAATGTTCCTGCAAACATTTTGAGTTCCTGCAAGATTGCTACATGCAAGCTTACATGTATAACAGTAGTTGTTAAGTTGGCCGCAACATCGCAGCTAGCGGCAATAACTCTTTCTTCCTGTTTACAATTTTGATTGCTGATGTCTGCAGCAAACAAAACAGCTTCGTAAGGAATGCCCAAATTAGCAAGTCAAAAACCCAAGTTTATAACGGCATACAAGTTGTACATAAAAGTGAATACTTTTATAATATTTTGAATACTTTACTTTAAGTATTTTACTCTTGTCTATTATATTTTACAGCTCCAATTATCCGTTTTTCGCTCTTTATCGCTGGAAAACAAAATTTACGACTATTCAACAATGGACCGTCTTATTTAAAGCATGTTCATGTTTTTTAAGGATTTATCAAATAAAGAAAACATGCATTTTTTAATTCTATTATTTGACAATAGTCATCATTACACCTATGGAAAATCATTCTTCCAAAATATATTGTTCTATTGGGTATGAATTTAATTAAATAACAGTTTTTTGCAAAAACCTACGACATCATAGGAGGGTGGAGTTACCTTAACAGCCAAAAAAATGTGTACCGAAATTTCAAGCTTATTAAGATACAGCAAATTTATATTTCATCAAACTTTGTATCCATTGCTTCCGATTGCCATATTTCGTTTTAAATCTGCTGTCATTGTTTGACTCGTCTGTCGTACACGACAGCCAAAATAATTTGTCCCATCAAAATCAAACACTTCCGGCACTTTGATAAAACAACAAAAATTCTCCATCTTGTGCAGTTATGCCGTATAGAGCCTAAATTTATAATATACAACAAGAAATGTGACTGTAAAGTAGCAGTTTTGATTATATTAGCTCCGTTTCACCAATATTTCTTGAAAAAGTATAGAAAATTACCCATATTCTGTTCTCATTTTGTTTCAATAAAAAATCATAGTTTTATATTCAAAAGAAAAATAGTTGAAGATAAGATCAAAACGGGAAGACATCCTATACTTCGCCGCAGAAAGATTTTTCAGTGTTTCCAACAAATAAGACCAGCTGCACTTTGTATCATATGCAGTAGTTCAAATCGAAAGTAAGTCTGAAGATTGTTGTGTTCTAGTTTTTAAAGTCTGTCTTCTATAGGAAAAAACCAAAATATTTCTATACTCTTTAAAATGACATATAGATCAATACATATTTAATCCATGAAAAAATATGTCATAATTTACTGTATGATTTCACTTCACCTTTGATGTCTCCACAACAGGTATATGTATGACAACAGAGTCTGCGCAGAATGAAAATGTAATCTACGACAAGCCGATTGAGTCAAAACTACATTTTGCAAATCAATCTTTTTTTAAGTAAAACTTCACTATCAACGCACAGTTGCATCAGAAAATGTAAACTTAATCAACAGCAAAATTAACCTCGAGTAGACGAGATTCAAGGACAAAGAAGTTGGTCAAAATTAAATTTCCCTGCATTTGCATAATAGTATTTAATCCGAAGCAACTTTTATTGTGTTAAATCGTTCAAAAAGGATGACTGCATTCAACATAGGCGTCGGAAGCAAATTGAAAGGGGGGGGGGGAGGCTAAACCAACAAACAAAAGTAAACCCGGCTCCAACGCCTATATTCAAGGACATTAGAAATGTACAAAACAAACTTTCAAAATAATTTTAAAATGGCAACATCTATTCTACAGTTAAACGTAAAGAGATCATCAGCATAAGCCACCCGCTAGGTGCATGGGGGCCGAATTTGAATAAATGATAAATTGTTTTTTTCTGACAAAGTCATTGTATCAACCATAGATCTAACGAATTCAAGCCTTTTTACGAGACTGTTGATATTCTTACTCCATCAATAGGTTTATGCTTATCTCGATATATCTCGCCAGAGCTACTGCTAGATACACTTTAAAACTTGAACTCATCGGGTTTTACAATTTGCAGAACATCGAAAAATAAAAGGTTCCGAACACATTAGTAGTTAATATGACTAATCATGGCCTTGCTTTTCGCGAAAAAGATTCTAATCATGCAATCCAATGCATGCATATAACTTGTAAATCTAAGATCCAATTGTGTGACCCCTCCTTACCCCAAGCGATGAAGATTTAAACAAAGTTAAATTTACATCTAGCGATGTTTCAATATGCATAATTTATCGTGGCTTTGTTGTTCTTGAGAAGATATTTCATATGCATTCTTTGTAAAATTGAACGCCCATTTCAGCGCCGCCCTAACATCGGGGGTCATGATTTGAACAAATTTGAATCTATACTACCTGAAAGAACTACGAACTCTAACTCTTGATTCCCGCCTACATTTTGCACCCATTAAATTCAATTTTAATGGCAATTTGGCCATTAAGTCATTGTTTAATACAAAGAACAGTTCCATGGTAATTGATTAATCATTTTATTTCCAGTGCTAGATAGTAAATTATCATTAATTCCAGCTGTTGAAGAAAGGGGGGGGGGGGGGGGGGGACTAGGCGATATTTTCTGGTGAAATCGAACTTTCAAGAATCACCATATTTTGAAGTAGTCTTAAATATCATAAAATGTATCTCATATCTTTTCTTATGTTTTACGCAAATAAATAAAACATATATAAATAAATAAAATACAATTATTTATTTGTAAATAGCTTAAAAATTAAAAGCGTGTAATCATTTGTACGAAACAGTTATGGTTTAAATGTCCATGATTTGGTTGGCTGAACTTGGCTGGTCAGATTTTACAAACTCGTCCATAGATTTTTTTCTTTCATGTAGTTTTGAAAGACCTTGTGAGATTGTAACATTTATGTCTTTTTTTTTTCTTAGGGGGTACTATAACATAGTAATGTTTCGCAAAAAATAAACACCTAAAAAAAATAATGCATATAGATGCATGATACGTGTACATGTACAATATAGAATAGAAGATCAGAATTTATTTCGCTCGAGAACCAAACTGAACCTAATTCAAAATTTTAATACATCAGTACATAAAACGAAACTGACAAAACAAAATGGCTGTTTGCATGAAAAAAAAAATTAATACCCCATACCAGGCTCGAACCAAAAACTTCTCGCTTCGTGTGCACTGAACATGTAGCCCAACTTACTGAGCTATCACCGCTACAAATATATAGACGATTTTAAAAGGACAAAGAAGCACCACACTCAACATTTGTATTTGTTGGGAAAAAGTTCATTTTTAGTGGTCTCTTGGTCTTCTTTCCATTTTTAAAAATGTGTATTTGTTTCTTTGAATTAAGATACACACAAATATTTTTTCAAAATCATGGAGAGAAGACCCAGAGATAGAAACTTTTTAGAAAAACGTGTTTAAAAATGTACAATTTTGTACCAAATGTCTGATCTGGCCAATTTTCAAGTTATTTTTTTTAGCAAATCAAAGCTCAATTTCGGGAAAATATTTTCCTTTCCTGTTGCACAGGAACTTTATAAATAAAAAAAAATGTTAAAATTTCATGTGACATGTCGATAAAATTTTAACTTTTAAATTCCGCCCAGATTCCTGCCGAATGCCAATTAAAAGCGCCCTCGTTCTTTAGCTACATGCAATTCATAATTATCTCCCCTTCGAAAAAAAGTGTGGATCCTTCATTTGAACAAATTTAAATCCTCTTTAACCAGGAATTCTTTTTGGCAAGTTTGGTTGGAATTGACCAAGCCGCTCAGTTCCTCTGGGAAGAAGATGAAGTTGTAAAAAGTTAACGACGCAAACAACAGATGGCATAAGATGCATCAGCTTACAAAGAGTAATGATCTTTAGCTTAGTATTATCCTAAATATAACAAAAATCCATTATCATAAAAGAGACAAGTGACTATTTGATTTGTATTTATTTGAAATATTTAAAAAAGATTATCTGTGATGTCTTAATGAGAATTACATAGTGATTACAGAATCTTCATGAGGTTTTTCCTTGAACCGGAGTTTATTATAATCACTCAGACACTCTATAAGGATTATCATATCACAAAGAATAATACAAATTCTACATATAGTAACAAAGGCAAAAAATGCCAACTTGATTTCAAAATTACATGTAAGGATACATACCACAAACAATTTGTCCTATCTTCCGCACAGAAGACTAATTAAGCTAGTGTTTTTTCAATATTTCTTTTGGAAATGTAATGAAGAAATTTTAATTGTGTTAAATGCAAAAATACTCTCTTTAAAACTGTCCCCAGCATCTCTGAAGCAATAACAAGAGGCCCAGGGGTCCACATTGCTCACCTGAGCAAATCGGTTAAGAAAATGCACAAATCTGATCAGAACTGAAAAGTTTACTGAAGGGGGGGGGGGGGGGCTTGAATTTAATACTACTTTAGAATGCCTTCATATTAATACAGCATATTACTTTGCTGTTCTTGATAACAAGAGGCCCATGGGCCTTATAGGTCACCTGAGCATTATGCAACAACTTTCCAGTGATTGAATTTGATTCATGTTTTAATCCAGATGCTATGGCATTCACAATTTTGAAATAGGCACTATTGATCATCATAACAATACACTTAGCAGTTGCTTAGTTTGTTTACTTAATACCCATAGGCAGGGTAGGGGAACAAAAAATGCATTTCAAGTAATCAGTAATATTCAGCATGATCAGTAATGCCCCAATCACACATGAACCCCTGACCCTTAGGCCTAGATCCACACATTGCACAACTTTTGAAAAGGCACCCTTGCTTTTCAAAAATATTTGATAAATACCAAGGAGCAGATTTCAAACAATTCATCCAGTTTCAGTTTATAAGTACAGCCCCCCCTCCTTTATGGTACCCCTGACCCTGGGGCCTTGAAATTCACAATTCTGGAAGATTAGGGTTCTTACTCATCATAACTACATAGGTAGTTCATCTGCTTAATACCCAGGAGCAGAGAAGAAAACTTTCAAAGATTTAGTGTATTTTCATTCTATAAACAATAAAGCCCCACCGTATCACTAGAATCCCTGACCCTGGGGCCATAAAATTCACAATTTTGGAAGAGGCACTCTTGCTCATCATAACTATGCACTTATTTAGTTTATTTAATACCTAGAAGCAGAGAAGAAGATTTTCAAAGAATTCACGTATTTTCACTATATAATATAAAGAGCCCCCCCTCCCCCTACACCAGAACCCCTGACCCTGGGGCCATAAAATTAACAATTTTGGTAGAAGCACTCTTGCTCATCATAACAAAGCACTTAGTTACTTTCTTCAATACCCAGGAGCAGAGAAGAAGATTTTCAAAGAATTCAAGTATTTTCACTATATAATCTATAGAGCCCCCCCCTTACACCAGAACCCCTGATCCTGTGGCCATAAAATTAACAATTTTGGTAGAAGCACTCTTGCTCATCATAACTATGCACTTATTTAGTTTATCTAATACCCAGGAGCAGAGAAGATTTTCAAAGAATTCATGTATTTTCACTATATAATCTATAGAGCCCCCCCCCCCCCCTTACACAAGAACCCCTGACCCTGGGGCCATAGAATTCACAATTTTGGTAGAGGCACTCTTGCTCATCATAACTATGCACTTATTTATTTTATTTATTACCCAGGAGCAGAGAAGAAGATTTTCAAAGAATTCAAGTATTTTCACTATGTAATCTATAGAGCCCCCCCCCTTACACCAGAACCCCTGACCCTGGGGCCATAAAATTCACAATTTTGGTAGAGGCACTCTTGCTCATCATAACTATGCACTTAGTTAGTTTATTTAATACCCAGGAGCAGAGAAGAAGATTTTCAAAGAATTCATGAAATTTCACTATATAATCTATAAAGCCCCACCCTAACACCAGAACCCCTGACCCTGGGGCCATAAAATTCACAATTTTGGTAGAGGCACTCTTGCTCATCATAATTATGCACTTAGTTAGTTTATTTAATACCCAGGAGCAGAGAAGAAGATTTTCAAAGAATTTATGTATTTTCACTATATAATCTATAGAGCCCCACCCTAACACCAGAACCCCTGACCCTGGGGCCATAAAATTCACAATTTTGGTAGAGGCACTCTTGCTCATCATAACTATGCACTTAGTTAGTTTATTTAATACCCAGGAGCAGAGAAGAAGATTTTCAAAGAATTCATGAAATTTCACTATATACTTATTTAGCCCCACCCTAACACCAGAACCCCTGACCCCGGGGCCATGAATTTCACAATTTTGGTAGAGGACTCAATGCTGATTACAATCATGCAAACAGTTTGACTGCTTGATGTCCAGGAGTAAAGAAGAAGATTTTTAAAGATTGCACTAATTTTAGTGGTTTTTGCCCCACCCCCCAGGCCCCAGGGGGGCAGGGCCCATGAAATTCACAATTTTTGTTCCCCTTCACCCATAGATGCTATATGCCAAATTTGGTTGAAATTGGTTCAGTGGTTTCAGAGAAGAAGCTGAAAATGTTCAAATGTTAACGCACGACGCACGACGAACGACGAACGACGACGGACGAAAAGTGATAGCAATAGGTCACCTGAGTAACTCAGGTGACCTAAAAAGACTTTTTAAAAACATTTCCTTCCTAGATATAACTTCATAAAAATTTGAATTTGATCACCCATTGCCCCCCACCCCTACCCCAAAGGGCCATGATTTGAATAAATTTGAATCAGGATTCTAACAAACTTAACTCTACACTACCCGAAAATGCTTCCATATAAATATTAGTATCACTAATCATGGCCTTGCTATTCTTGAGAAAAAGATTTTTTAAAATATTTATTTTAGTGTAAAACTTGGATCTCCACTTGTGACCCCACCCTATCCCTGGGGGTTATAATTTGAACAAACTAGAATCTACACTACCTGAGAATGATTCCATATAAATATCACTAATCATGGCTTTGAAGCACTTGAGAAGACAATTTTTAAAGATTTCCCTATCTATTCCTATGTAAAACTTTGATCAGCCATTTTGGCCCCATCCTACCCTGGGGGTCATAACTTGAACAAACTTGAATCTACACTACCTTGAGGATGATTTCACAAGAGTTTCATCCTATCCTGGCCCAGTGGTTCTTGAGAAGAAGATTTTTAAAGATTTTTCCTATATATTCCTATTTAAAACTTTGATCGGCCATTGTGGCTCCAACCTACCCCCGGGGGTCATGATTTGAACAAACTTGAATCTACACTACCTGAGGATGCTTTCACATGTCAGTTTCATCTTTCCCGGCCCAGTGGTTCTTGAGAAGAAGATTTTTAAAGATTTTTCCTATATATTCCTATGTAAAACTTTGATCTGCCATTGTGGCTCCAACCTACCCTCGGGGGTCATGATTTGAACAAACTTAAATCTACACTACCTGAGGATGCTTCCACATGAGTTTCATCTTTCCTGGCCCTTTGGTTCTTGAGAAGATTTTTAAAGATTTTACCTATACATTCTGATGTACAACTTTGATCAGCAATTGTGGCCCCACCCTACCCCTGGGAGTCCTGATTTGAAAAAACTTGAATCTACACTACCTGAGGATGCTTCCTCATGAGTTTCATCCTTCCTGGCACAGTGGTTCTTGAGAAGAAGATTTTTATAATATGCCATTAATTTTTCATAAATTCATAATTATCTCCCCTTGGAAGAGGGCATGGCCCTTCATTTGAACAAACTTGAATGCCCTTCACCTAAGGATAGTTTGTGGCAAGTTTGGTTGAAATTGGCCCAGTGGTTCTTGAGGGGAAGATGAAAATGTGAAAAGTTTACGACGACAACAACAACAACGACTACACTGACGACAGACAACGGACAAATTTTGGTCAGAAAAGCTCACTTGAGCCTTCGGCTCAGGTGAGCTAAAAATTAATACATTTTGCTAAATTTTCAGAAAACGTCCTGAACTGTAAAGTTACATCATTGCACTTTTTTATGTGCTTGGCCAAACATTGTTTAACAAAACAAATATAACTTCTAATGTACGAGATGCTCCTAATTTACAAAAGATATCTAAATTTTGGAAGAAAACTAAAAGCCCTTGTGTGTTATTTATCCTTAAAAGAATACATGTAGTTTGATGTGAACACTTCATTATTTAATTCTGTACCTTGTGTACAAATTATAGTTTTCTTTTACTGGACAATGTCACGTTTCCTTAATTGAACGTTTTAAGTTCCTAAACCTAATATCACCTGGATTATACTTAGTAATTCATTAGAATACAGTATCAGTTTGTCAAGTAGGAAGCTTGGTTCATTCCGTCCTGAAGAACTGTAAATAACAGTGGTCTTCCGCCGGTAACTTCCATAAATTATCAGATTTGAATGAGTAATTTCTAACAAGCTGTATAGAATTCTTGTTAATTTTCATAAAATTTGACATTTATCCAAACACATATATCTGTATAATTCACGTTTTATACAAAAGAAATCAGAACAAAAAAACTTCGTTAAAACATGCATAAACCATTAAATCAAACATTTCTCAAGCCCCTGTGAGCAGAGGAAAAAAGAAGCTTACAAAATGTGAGCCATAAAAAGTTATTGATTTCCCCAGAAAGTTTCCATTACATTTATAATTTTTACAGTCATATGCATCTGCTACAGAAACTGACAATTCGTTGATTTGGTGACAGTAAGACACATTTTACAAAATTAAACAATCAAATATCATGGATCAAATTAATCAAAAAACATCTTTATTCTATATGACGTATGTAATTATAAAATAATCTCATTTAGATAAACGCAAAATTAAAATCAAGCTATGGAATTAATAACAAAAATAAAAATTAAAATCATAATGGAAATTACTTAATTTCTATGCAGTACGCCCAGAGTTAACATTTTGAATCTCCTCATTAAGTTGAACTCCTCTGCATCTTCAACCATCATTCAGAACATTGTCAAAAAAAATAGAATAATCCCTTACGTTAAAAACATAGGTAATCAGAGATTACAGAGCTCACCTCAATGAATGTTGTCTTTAAGTAAGGCAAATTAAGTCACACAATTAACCAACAAAAAGTGTACATCCAAAAATGCAAAATTTATGCAATTTTGATTTTGATACTTTGGAATAGATCTATAAAACTTCAAACTTGTTCTTCATCATGAAAATGTAATTAAAATCCAGCATCTGAAGCAAGATTGAGAGTTTTCATCCCTTGATGCATCATTTGTGCAACTTTGGTTTATATAAGCCTTATAGTTTCTTCGTGATAGACCTGCACCCATAACTTTTACGAGGTCTATTATCTGGAAAATGTATGTCAAATTCAGCATCTGAAGCAAGTCCATTAGTGTGCACCCTAAGATGTATCATCCATACAAGTTTGTTCAACATAGAGCTCAAAGTTACTTGGAAATGAAATCTGTATAAAAAACTAACCTTTTCACTAATCCTGAAAATGTAGGTCAGATTCAGCTTCTGAAGCCAGCCTAGTAGAATGCACCCTTAGATGTACCATCCATGCAAGTTTGGTCATTATAGAGCTCAAAGTTACTTGGAAATGAATCCTGCACCATAAACTTTAACCTGTTTACTCGTCCAGAAAATGTAGGTCAGATTCAGCATCCGAAGCAAGTCTGGTAGTATGCATCCTAAGATGTACCATCCATGCAAGTTTAGTCATTATAGGGTTCATAGTACCTTGGAAATGAAACCTGCACCATAAACTTTAACCTGTTCACTCAACCGGAAAATGTAGGTCAGATTCAGCATCCGAAGCAAGTCTTGTAATATGCATCCTAAGATGTACCATCCATGCATGTTTAGTCATTATAGGGTTCATAGTACCTTGGAAATGAAACCTGCACCAAAAACTTTAACCTGTTCACTCAACCGGAAAATGTAGGTCAGATTCAGCATCCGAAGCAAGACTGGTAGTATGCATCCTAAGATGTACCATCCATACAAGTTTGGTCATTATATGTCTCATAGTAACTTGGAAATGAAACCTGCACCAAAAACTTTAACCTGTTCACTCAACCGGAAAATGTAGGTCAGATTCAGCATCTGAAGCAAGACTGGTAGTATGCATCCTTAGATGTACCTTCCATGCAAGTTTGGTCATTATATGTCTCATAGTAACTTGGAAATGAAACCTGCACCAAAAACTTTAACCTGTTCACTCAACCGGAAAATGTAGGTCAGATTCAGCATCCGATGCAAGTCTAGTAGAATGCACCCTAAGATGTACCATCCATGCAAGTTTGGTCATTATAGGGCTCGTAGTATCTTCGAAATGAAACCTGCTCCAAAAACTTTAACCTGTTCACTCAACCGGAAAATGTAGGACAGATTCAGCATCCGAAGCAAGTCTGGTAGTATGCATCCTAAGATGTACTATCCATGCAAGTTTGGTCAACATAGGGCTTATAGTTACTCGGAAATGAGACCTACACCAAAAACTGCACCAAAAATGTTAACCTGCTCCAAAAACATTAACCTGGTCATTCCTTTGCTGAAATTGCAGCATCTGAAACTTTGACTGGTACAATGAAACACACTAGAAACATCTTCCATGCATGTCTAATCAATATAGGACATAGAAGTACTTAAAAAGAAAACTGCTCCAAAAAACTTAACCTTAACCCGGGACGCCGACGCCGACACCGACACCGACGCCGAGGGTATCACATAAGCTCCCCCCAACTTCGTTGAGGTGAGCTAAAAAGCAAATCAATTTTCTTCATTACTTCAATAGAAAAAAGTGTATTTACTACAAACTATGCTATGTTTACAGAAATGTATTTGAACTATGAACAGATGTGATAAAATTACAGTAATATACTAAACAACTCGTAAAGATTAAATCTATCGAATTTGTAGGACATTTTTTAATGACATTTTAATGATGTAAAAAAACAGTGGGCTATCATGTGTGCACAAAATTTTTATTTTTTATCAAATGCAGATGATTTATATTTTATAACTTTCAATTCGTATTTGATTATATGGGTTTACAAAAGAAAACTCCTCGAAAAACTTTATCGATGTGACAACTCATAGAGAGGAAAACTCAAAAAAATGACAATTACAGACCTGAAAACTAATTGACACTCTTCAAAACTGATTAAAAAAAATATTCACACACATAACATTTTATGGAAATTTTACTTTGCTATGAGCAAGCTCTACAATTAAAGAATTGTACGTAGTTTCCTTTCTGACTCATTCACCAAATGTATACACAGCTGTATACAATATGTATATCTTTATAATTTTAGGTATCTTCCCTATCTCCAAAGTGTAATACAAATTCATTTCTTAAAACATCGTTATATTCCTTGGAGCTGAATTAAAAGTTTAATTGTAACCTCAACTATGAATTAACCGTGCGTGAAAAAAAGGAATTGTGGGGTTTTTCTTAAGGAAAAATTAGAAATTATTCAAGAAAAAAGACTGGTGGTATTACAAAGTCATTAACATTGCACCTATTTCAATTTTTATTTCGTAAGAAACCTTGATTAAGTTCGACTCATATACTTAATAACTATTAAATCTTTCATTAATATTTCTTTGCTCATTTAATATTAATAATATTTAAAGAAACATTGAAAAAAAAAATCAATAAAAACCATCAAGATTGCACAATTTCCTTGTTTTCAGACAATACACCAATCCTTCTAAAAGAAACATCTGGAATATTCTCGGTATTCCTCTGGATCATCCGCTGACTCTGGTGTGACGCCTTTTACTGCCAGCTCCTCCAGAACTCGGTCAAGGTAGGTGTCATCTGGGTACCCAAACCTGCCACAAAACTCTAACTGTAATTCTTCTCATAATGACAAACTTGAAATTATTTTTCAGTGATCAAAACAATTTATCAATCTTTAATGATGAAAATGATGTACAGTAGTGTGACATGAGTTCGCAAAATGGCTGCCGTTGTAAACGTAAATAAAAAATGCGAATTTTTTAAAGGTGTTTATAAATCAATGGAAGTAAATTTTCTTACTTTAAAGGCTCAATATTTGGTGATCAGTCCTCTAGATCGCAGCACAGTGCGTATTCTCCTCGGAAGACAGTTATAAATGTAATATAATGAACTGGGAGTCTACTCCAAATGTCAGACACGATGTGTTTCAGGTCATCACTGTTTTTGATTTCATTTAAACGTTGATTAATTCTGTATGTTAGAACTTTCTATACATTTTCAATTATATTAATGTCGGGGCTTTGAGCTGGCCACTGAAGGGTGTTAATATCATTCTCTGCTTTCCACTCAAGAGCTTGATTCGAAACATGAAAAGGGGAATTATCGTCTTGAAATAGCCACTGCCGGTTAGGAAAATGTCTCGTAAAAACTGGCCATAATTTATCATCAACCAGAAGTCTCTGTCGAGACTGTACTGTACTGGTTTGTACTTACAGCAAAGGAAGAGAAAAGTACTTAAGCAGTTGGGAATTGAAACTTTACAACAGCAATAAATAGAATAATGATATTGATAAAGTCTCTTCATGTTCTTAGTGTAGTCTATTTGTGTGCCAAGTTATATTGAAATCAGACCAAGACTGTAGGAGGAGTAGCATTTTGAAACAATTTTACAGAAATTTCTATTTTTAGTAACCACGGCAACACCGTTTATCGAAATCAAAAACCGATATAAAGAATTATGTATCTTAGTGTAGTCTACTTGTGTGCCAAATTATATTGAAATCAGACCAAAACTGTAGGAGGAGTAGCATTTTGAAACAATTTTACAGAAATTTCTATTTTTAGTAACCACGGCAACACCGTTCATCAAAATCAAAAACCGATAGAATTATGTATCTTAGTGTAGTCTACTTGTGTGCCAAGTTATATTGAAATCAGACCAAAACTGTAAAAGGAGTAGCATTTTGAAAACATTTCACAGAAATTTTATTTTTAGTAACCACGGCAACACCGTTTATCGAAATCAAAAACCGATAGAATTATGTATCTTAGTGTAGTCTACTTGTGTGCCAAGTTATACTGAAATCAGACCAAAACTGTAGAAGGAGTAGCATTTTGAAAAAAAATTTAACAGAAATTTCTATTTTAAGTAACCACGGCAACACCGTTCATCAAAATCAAAAACCGATATACAAAATTATGTATCCTAGTGTAGTCTACTTGTGGGCCAAGTTATATTTAAATCAGACCAAAACTGTAGGAGGAGTAGCATTTTGAAAAAAAATTTAACAGAAATTTCTATTTTAAGTAACCACGGCATTACCGTTTATCGAAATCAAAAACCGATAGAACTATGTATCTTAGTGTAGTCTACTTGTGTGCCAAGTTATATTGAAATTAGACCAAAATTGTAGGAGGAGTAGCATTGTGAAAAATTGTTTACGAGACAGACGGACGGACGCCGGACGCATTACTATCGCATAAGCTCTTCTGGTCTCTGACCAGTAGAGCTAAAAACGGAAATTAAAATATATTTAAAACATAGGTAATCAGAGATTACAGAGCTCACCTCAACGAATGTTGTCTTTAAGTAGGGCAAAGTCACACCATTACCCAACAAAAAGTGTACCTCCAATATGCAAAATTTATGCAATTTTGATCTGATACTTTGGAATAGACCTATATAAAACTTCAAACTAGTTCTTCATCACGAAAATGTGATCAAAATCCAGCATCTGAAGCAAGTGTAAGAGTTTCCATCCCTTGATGCATCATTTGGGCAAGTTTGGTTTATTAAAGCCTTATAGTTTCTTGGTGATAGACCTGCACCCATAACTTTTACCTGGTCCATTATCTGGAAAATGTATGTCGAATTCAGCATCCGGAGCAAGTCCATTAGTATGCATCATAAGATGTATCATCCATGTGAGTTTGCACAACATAGGGCTAATAGTTACTTAGAAATGAAACCTGCATAAAAATTTAACCTCTTCATCATCCAGAAAAAAATGTAGGTCAGATTCAGCATCTGAAGCCAGCCTGGTAGAATGCAACCTTGGATGTATAATCCATGCAAGTTTGGTCATTAAAGAGCTCATAGTTACTTGAAAATGAATCCTGCATCAAAAACTTTAACCTGTTCACTCATACAGAAAATGTAGGCCAGATTCAGCATCCAAAGCAAGTCTGGTAGTATGCATCCTAAGATGTATCATCCATGCAAGTTTGGTCATTATAGGGTTCATTGTATCTTTGAAATGAACCCTGCACCAAAAACATTAACCTGTTCACTCAACCGGAAAATGTAGGTCAGATTCAGCATCCGAAGCATGCCTGGTAATGTGCATCCTTAGATGCATCATACATGCAAGTTTGGTCAACATAGGGCTTATAGTTACTTGGAAATGAGACCTGCACCAAAAACATTAACCTGTTCACTCAACTGGAAAATGCGGGTCAGATTCAGCATCTGAAGCATGTCTGGTAGCGTACATCCTTAGATGTATCATCCATGTAAGTTTGGTCAACATAGGGCTTACAATTACTTGGAAATAAGACCTGCACCCAAAACATTAACCTGTTCACTCAACCGGAAAATGTAGGTCAAATTCAGCATCTGAAGCTATTCTGGTAGTGTACATCCTTAGATGTATCATCTATGCAAGTTTGGTCAACATAGGGCTTATAGTTCCTTGGAAATGAGACCTACAGCAAAAACTGCATCAAAAATGTTAACCTCCTCCAAAAACATTAACCTGGTCATTCCTTTGCTGAAATTGTAGCATCTGAAACTTTGACTGGTACAATGAAACACATTAGAAGCATATTCCATGCATGTCTAATCAATATAGGACATAGAAGTACTTAAAAAGAAAACTGCTCCAAAAAACTTAACCTTAACCCGGGACGCCGACGCCGAGGGTATTACATAAGCTCCCCCAGCTTCGTTGAGGTGAGCTAAAAATGACTCTAATTCTTGGCCAAATTATTCAATTATAACCTGGTTTGGGTCAGTTTCCGCATTAAAATCCGCGAAGCGAATTATAACAAAAGGTCCATGGGCCACATCGCTCACCTGATCACTGTGGCTAGGAAAAAGTAGAAATTGGTTTATTATTGAAAAGTTGAAATCCAAAAGTAGTCCCATGACCAATCATGGCTTTGCTATTCTTGAGAAGAAGATTTTTAAAGAATGTTCCAATATATTTCTATGTAAAAATTTGGTCGGCAATTGTGGCCCCGCCCAACCTCCATCAGTCATGATTTGGACAAATTTGAATCTACACTACCTGAGGATGATTCCATATAAATATGATCAATTATGGCCTTGTTATTCTTGAGAAGAAAATTTTTAAAGAATTTTCCTATATATTTCTATTTAAAACTTTGGTCGGCCATTGTGGCCCCGCCCTACCCCCGGGGGTCATGATTTGAACAAACTTGAATCTACACTACCTGAGGATGTTTCCCCATAAGTTTCATCTTTTCTGGCAAAGTGGTTCTTGAGAAGAAGATTTTAAAACATACCACCAACTTTTCATTAATTCCCAATTATCTCCCCTTGAATGAGGGCGTGGCCCTTCATTTGAACAAATTTGAATCCCCTTTACCCAAGGATGCTTTGTGGCAAGTTTGGTTGAAATTGGCCCAGTGGTTCTTGAGAAGAAGTCGAAAATGTGAAAAGTTTACAGACAGACAGACAGACGGACGCTGGACAAAATGTGATCAGAAAAGCTCACTTGAGTCTTCGGCTCAGGTGAGCTAAAATGCGTAAACTAACCCAAACCAGGTTATAATCGAATAATTTAGCCAAGAACTAGAGTCATTCCTTATAATTTAATTTTAATATAATAAAACAACTGTGGGTGTAAAATTGTGCTGCTTTTTATGAATTTAAATTTGCCGCTCAATAATACATCCTTAGTAACGGAAAAGATATGAAACAAGGAGGTAATAACTGATACACAGATCTAGCAGCCATGATGTTTGTTTACATGAGGTAAGATTGAGTAACAGTTTGAAGTTAAAGGTACATTTAATAAATCTGAAATTTTCCATGATTCCCAAAGACTGGAAATGAGGGAATTACATGGATACAGATGATTCAGCTGGTTGTCAAGGGTGTGTGTCCCCATACCAAACCAGGTTATTGAGAAATAATTTGCGTTCCTTTTTGGAAATCAACCAATAAGAGACTAGAATACAAACAAAATTATATTATTTAGTTGTATTCATATTACTATCCACTGGTACAAGTGTCCAAACTCCAAAGTATGTAATACAACCCCAAAACACCATTGATGCCTTGCGTGTTGTCTCCCTGTCACCCATTATACCCAAAAATTTTGGACGCATTCTTTCGTCGCATCGTCTCCGAACATTAATTTTTCTATTGTTTCCAAGCACAATTTTTGTCTTGTCACTAAATATAACTGATGACCAGTGGTTCTCAACAGTCCAGTGTAATTTTCTCCTACAAAATGTAATCCTTCTCGCACGGTTAACTCTAGAAATCGTAATGGTTTTGGAAATGGGTTGACCTTTGTAACCATGCTAACACAATCTTCTACTTACTGTTCGCGAAGATACGGTGCATCATGTTCTTTCATTATACTCGTAAGATCCTTCAGAGTTTGTCTATTATTCCCTTTCACACTTCAAAGAAGCACCCTGTCATCCCGCGCAGTTGTTTTTCTAGCACCCCAACTTCTCGGCATGTTTTCTGCATTCCCTCGCTATCAGTACCCTCTTCAAAAATTTCTGTATTGTTCAGCAATTAATTCTAGTCAAATTCTGAATGTTATAGTTTGAATTACCCGCAGTAGATAAATTAATTATTTCTTTCTGATTGGGTGTCACTTCCTTCCCTTGAGAAGGCAAGTTTCTAGGCAGACGATAAAATTGTTTATCAAAGGGAAATAACCCCAAAAATTGTAAGATATGATCAAAAGGAATAAAAATTATTTATTTGAAATTGAATCGTGAATATTAAATTATTGATGCAGAAATACATCACTAAAAATCGAAGCGAGACCGGAAGCTGGAACGGCGCCGCCATTTTGCGAATTCATTCATGTCCTACTACTGTAAATATACACATTTGATGTCAGAAAAGCAACTGGTTGTCTCTTGCCTTACCTTTGTGGACCTCCCTCTGGTCTTGTCTTGTGGTGAATATCATTCCAAGTCACCACCCCCTCTTCTCCCGTGGTACGGGATCTTCCAATGGTAAACACCAGTTTTCTTGAAAAAGCAATATTCAGTAGCTTGGCCACCTGCCTTCCCTTTGTATTGTTTGGGAGGTAACCAGACCGAGTTATCCCTTTGAAGTACTGATCAGGATTAGGGTGTTCCTCCTGTGATTAAAAGGAAAAAATCGGGTAAATTGTGACACTGAATAGATTTAGAAATAATCATTGTAAATACTAATTGTTCTAAAGACTATGATGCCTACAACATAGAATACAATGGTGTGTTATTCTGTGTACAACGGAATATTTTAAGTTAAATAATAATAAGAACAAGGCCAAAATTAAAAATGTTTGCTTAACTGTTTTGATCCAAGTTCTTAGCAAAGGGTTGGTAGGAAAGTAGGAAAAATATTTTTTCAAATAAGTTACTGCAAAACCATGAAGCCCCGCATCACTTTGTTTTTGCTACTTTTTAAAAATTTTGGGGGTTTTGTGGTAGAAGCATTGTTGGAAAGGGCTTTGTCACAGGTTTTTCAAACTTTTCAAAATGTCATTAGAAATTTCTTATTAATCATCGACACTTCAAAGTACATGATATGTTTTCTTGTTGTTTAATACAGAGTAGCCAATGAAATTAATAATATTTATCAGAATTTACATCCGGCTTTGTAACCAATCAAAGCTCGTGTTACCAGTTACATAAGGTTCTACATTAAAGATTTTCTTCTACACTCCATGAAAAATTTGGCCACAATATTGTACCTGACCCATGTAATTTAACCAAATTTGTAACTACTCTTTCTAGGGGTTTTGAATATCAATATGACTTGTGCGTTAAAAAATTGCTTCAAGTTTCTTTTTTTCATTATAAATGTATTTTGAAGAATTTCATTCTAATTTTACCCGTGTCTATTAATTTTATAGCTCATCCTAACCCCACTGTCCTAATTTGAAGACACCTAATCCTCTGGGCATTGGTATGCTTTCAGGTAGGGCTTAGATTTCATTGTTATTTAGGACTGAACTAAACAATGTTAACTGTACAATGTAAAATTAATTCTGAATAAAAGATATCCTAGCAAAAAACAACATTTTGATACAATCCCTGTAACAAACAACAGGTAAGTAAGAAAGTTTGTCTATCATTTGAATTAAAGATAAACAACTCTACGGCAAACGCTCTTGCCACCTTGCCATGCCTGCATCCCCATACTTTGTAAATGAAAATTAAAGATAAATATCCTAGCTACTATAAAAGATCTTTAGAACTCAAAATATATGTCTTACCCCTTGACGACCCCCTCCTATAGTATACGTAATGACAATGCACCTATCACAGTCCTCATAACCAGGAAGCCTTCTCCGTTCTTTTCTTAGAGACACAGTGCCAGGTGGCTGGTCCCCTGTCATCTTTCCAAACACTTTACCACAGCTTGGGCAGGCTGGTTTGTACTTAAATTGCTGATCAATGCAGTCTTTGCAGAAGACATGGCCACATTTTAATGCTTTTGGATTGCTCGGAGTATCCATGCATATGCAGCAGGTGTTTTCTTCTGCACTTGAGCTCTGCACATTATAGCTCTGCTCTTTAGGGAGGTTGATCACTTCAAAATCATCACTGTCTAAGACTTTTTTTAATGCATCTGTATATGCAAATCTCTCAGCCTTACTTTGAAATACAAGTTTAATTTCTTGAATGGATAAGGAATCGTTTTCATCTGAAAATGATTTTACTGTTGTAGCAAAGATTTTGGAACAAGTCTCCAGTGGTGTTTCGTATGTACCTCCAACACCTGAAATGATAGTGCAAACTATAGTGTAATTTGATCCCATAATTTCTGATATCTAAATAACATTAAGATCCATTGTCATGAACAATTTAACTTACCAACTCCCAAAATGGGCATAGCAATACTGGAGACCTGTTCTCTCTCTGCTGCTTTAAAAATACTTTTGTATGTTTTCTTTAGAGATTTCATATATTGCTGGTTATCTGCAGCAGATTCCCTATCCCACCTTGGTGCCACAGTGTGGAGGATGTATTTCCATCTTGTAGAATTTGATTTGCATTCAGCTACGAAAACATCTCCAAATCGGCACTCCTTTTCTTTTTTAGGAGGATAAGCTGTATTATCATTTATAGCTTCCATCAATGCACGAGCAACTCCTCCTTTGGAGCTACAATTTTTATCCTGGGGACACACAACTGCTTCTGCTTCAGTATTAACTATATTTCCTGTAAAAAGGTGAACTGAGAAGGAGTTTGGTATTTGAAAAACCACACATTCTTCACTTTCATTGCTAGGAGGTCTGTAAATTGAAGAGGACTTAGATACATCTAAGTTTTCTTGCTTTTGTTGAGAGTTTGTACTATAAGAAGGGTTTAGTGTGTCTTCTTTTTTAGGTGAATAATTCCTCATCTGAGAAAATACTGCTTTGATGTCATCAACCATGGTAGGATCTCTATCCACAAAATGTATTTCCTTCAGATAAGTTGGCTTGTTAGAGGAAAGGAAAGCTACTACTGCTTGGTAATAACATTCCACACACTTGTCTCTTGGTACTCCAAATATACCTGTCATGCACAAGGATGAAATTTTAAGTAATTTTTAGAATTAAAAAAAAATTCTATCAAGGATTATAATGAAGTAAAGATACATTTTGTAACAAATTGTATAAAATAAACTCAGCTTTCTTTCTTCACTAGAGCCACCTATTATTAAGAACTCCAACTTTGATATAATCATATGTGATGTGATTAACATTTAGTCATAATTTACTTAGATAATTTAATTGACAATTTTCAACTATGCTGAAACAACTGTGTAAATTAAAGTTTTGTTCATTTTTATTATATTTCCTATTTTTCAACATAACAAGGTTATTTACTCTTCATATACATTCATGTACTGCAAATATTTTTCCAATGATTCTAATAATTATGATATCTATGTTGAGAACCTAAAAGAGTTTCTTTCCTCATGACTTTAAACCTAAAATATCATACCAATTCATCTTACACTTTAAATCATTAAATACCTGAACTAATGGCCGGAATTGCTATTGATGTCATTTTCAACCTTTCTGCTTCTCTGAATGTAACTTCAACAGCTTCTTGCAAGTCATCAAAACAGTATTTCTTATCATCACTTTTATAGTCATGCCATCTAGGTCCTACTGTATGAATTACATACTTGTAGTGAAGGTCACCAGCAGATGTCACACAACACTTCCCCACAGGTATTGGACCATTCTGTCTGATGTACTCTGCACTCTCTCTACTGAATTCATATCCTGCTGCCTCTGCTATTGCAAATGCTACTCCACCTCCATGCATAAGCTTATCATTAGCAGCATTGACAATACAATCAACTCCGAGTTTAGTAATACTGCCCTGATACACTTTAACAGTAAATTCATCCTTCACTTTCACTTCAAGTGCATCACTAGACATATACAATGAAGAAGTCATATCTGATTCAGTCTCATTGCTTTCAAAGCGTCTATTTCTTCGTCCACTTTGTTTGAGCACCTCCTCTGACTTTTCTTCAGTATTTCCAGTTGCATCTTCACTTGATCGAAATCTTCGATTTCTCCTGTTTGTTTGTCCACCTTCCAACTTAATTTTTAACGTATTTTTCAGCAATTGCAACTGAGAGTAGTCATTACATGTAATATTTATCTTTGTCTCTTCACCATAGAAAAATGCTTCTGGGAATTCCTTCTGAATTTCCCTCACAGTGGCTGGTATTTTGCTTTTTTCTGTATCAGGAACTGCATAAAAATCAGTATTCAATGTCCTTATCTTATCATAATGCCTCTTTAGAGCTTCTACCAAATAGTCTTCATTTGGACAACCTGCTTGAAGTGCCCCATCTTTATATTCTAGTAAATGTACAACTTTTTTGTATTCTGGTAGGTCATCTTTCTCTCCAAAATACTTGAACGAATGGAATTCACATTTTGACATTTTAATAAAAAGGGGGTATATTCTGGCTTTGACTCCCTCACTAGATATTTGTTTGTCCTTTTTCTGCTTCTCTGTAGAATTCAATGCTTGAGCTGCCTGTTTTAGCTCTTTGTTTAATTGTACTAGAGAATGAAGATCTCTAGTTGTTACTGTGAATTCATTTGACTGAGATTTCCCTACTAGTAATTTGCAATCATTCTTCTTGGCACATTTTTCAAGTTGCTCCAAAGGTATATTGGAATAAATTTTGCCAAATATACTTTCAAACACTGGAATTTCATTTAGGGAGTCCTTCAAGAAAAACAAGCGATTTCAGCATACATGTCTTATTGTCAAAAGTTTCCTAAAAAGGTAGGGTAAAGGAGATTGAAGTGCAAATACTTTATTTGAAGAAATTGCTTTACTCAGAGTCAAAAGGATTAGGGTTAAAATCTGTATGCTAGCCCAGAAGGATTCATTGTTAGTATACTCAGCATGTAAGCATTTGCAACAACCTCCTTTTCAAAAACATTGTAATAGATGGAGAATGACCTGTTACCTGTGTCTATTAAGTATGGAGCTGAACTTTACTGAATGTGAAGATATTATCTAAAATTTATTTCAGAAAGGACACTCAACTCTGTTCAGGTTTTTAGGTCATAAAATTGAGGGCCTAGGCCTTTCCATTTGTCATGAAAACAATAGCGACAGTTTGGCCGAAATTGGGAAAAATATTTTTTTGTAAATAAATTAAAAATGATATTTTTTTCAGCAAAGTATTGACTTATTTTACATCCAGTCAACCAGTTTTTGGAGCATTCCTTTTAGACTTTTTTTAACATTATTCCTGATTACACATTTTGGACTTCAGACATTCTTTGACCTGTTCTTTTCGATATTTCTTTCTTTCATGAACAGGAAATTGGTAAAAACATTTTTTACCATTGGAAATGGGCCTATTAAAAACTGTCTACAACCCCTAAATAACCCTGCTGTTTATAAAATTATTTAATAATCAGCTGATAATTAGGGAGTAACTCCATTTTATATACAATTTCAACATCTGGTGATGTAAATATATTCAAAATGTATTTAAAGCTTGCAAGAAATATCCCACAAGAAGTGATTGCCTTTCATTCAGCTAAAAAATTTAGCACTCTCCATATAAAGCTATCATATTCTGTGCTTATTTTCTTTCTTATTTTAGGCCTTAGTCTTAGCAGTCATGATAGGAATAAATTGAATCTACATTATGTCAGGAAACTTTTATTAAGTTTCATCTTTTCTAGCCCAGTGGTCCCTGAGAAAATTTTTCAATACACCAACCCCAATTTTACATTTCTCAGTTATCTTCCCTTTTATGGAAGGTGTTTGCCCTTCACTTGAACAAAAGAACCAAGTTTGGTTGAAACTGGTCCAGTGGTTTTGAAGAGAAGATGAAAATGTTAAAAGTTTATGCCAACATCAATGACATTGACCGACATGAATAATGACAGTCTGACAACAGACAAGGTTCAATCAGAAAAGCTAATTGGGGCCTAATTGGTACTGTCATTAGCATAAATTCTTCATATTGCTTTTGGAAATCTATTTTTAAAGAAATAAACAGGATGTATAATTATTACAAAAGATAATTACATTCATTACAAAAATAATGATTAAATACACAACTTACCAAGTCCTTTACACTGTTTCCCTGTGACATATCTAAACCTGGAAAAATTAGGAAAATCTAATTTTTTCCCAAAACATTAATTATTATTAATCTTATTTTTTCTTCTTCTAAATTTTTTTTCCAGAAGAAACAAGATTGTCCCTAAAATTGAAATAACAGGGTCATCTTAAAAGTAGATGGGGGTCTGGGGTTTGTTTTAAACATATTTTATTGACAATATGTCAAAGGGATTGGACACAAGTTCCAAAAACTTAGATAGTCCTCTCCCATGGGGTTTCCATGTAGTAATATCATCTGTGGCAGATCCAGAAGTTCATGCGGGTGGGGGAGGTGTTTGAGCCCCAAAGGGCCGAAGGGGGAGGGCATGGAAGGGGGTGTCCCCTCTCATAGGTGGTAGATCTCAGGGCCTCCCCCCAGAAAATTTTGTTTTAAACAATTATTAATGGTGCATTTTCCAGCAATTTTGAACTTTTTGTAGCTTTTTTTAAGACCCATCATAATATTTTTTTAAGAATTTGGAAAATAAAATGTTTCAATTTAATTTAACTTTAACACAAGGCTTTAAGGAATACAAGCAGGTGTCTTCAAGTTGTATTCACTTCAAATGCACCCTCAATTAATTCAGTCGTATGTCAAGCTGATATCTAAGATAAAACTGTATTGCAATTTTTAAACACCTTAAAAAAATTTAAAAATAGAATTCTTTTCAGAATCCTTGTGCTTATAATTTACTTGAATATACTATCAATATGATATAGAATATAAAAACACATGTACTATTAAATAAATGATATTTCAAACTGAAGAAAAAATTACATAAACTGAAGAATCTGTCAAATCTAGAGGGTTTTGCTAAGTCAACCTGATTTTGTAAAAAAAATAATAATAATAATAACTAGAGCAAAGCTCGTTGCAAAGCAACCAGTAGGTCTTCCGTCCTGTTTGACCGGAAGTAGCTTTCATTTTTAACAAAAATGAGAAATAACGCCCAAAAATGCTGAATTCTGTAAAGCTAAGTTTAATTAATGCAAAAATAAGCCATTTTTTGCTACTTCCGGTTTGACCGGAAGTAACGACGACGGATGGAAAATTAATTTTTAAGCTCCCAGAGACATATGTTACCCAAAAACTTGTCATGAACGGCAAAAATACACGTTTTTCAACTACTTCCGGTTTGGCCGGAAGTGACGTCGTCAGACATATTTTGACGACGCCAGTAAATTAAGCTTGACATTTTGAACAACTTTGCTTCTTTGATGTATTACAAATTCTCAATACTTTTTGAGATATAAAGGAAAAACTTTCGGCCCCTGTAGGCCCTTCATTTTACGGGCCAGCCCTTTTTTGGAGATATCACTTGAAAGATCATGTAATTCTACACTTCTTTTCTTCTACATGTCTTAACAAAATATTTCTAGGTAAAAAGTTAATGTAGAAAAGGTGTTAAAAATTTTGAAATTCTTAATAGGACTATTTTCGGGTCATAACGAGCGTCGGCGCTTCGTATTTCCGGTAGTTGTAATATACAAAAGGCACTTCTCCAAAGGTTGCTCTAGCATCCCTGAAAATTTCACACTTCTATCTTCAATGGTTTTTGAGAACATTGCCGAACAAAGTGACCCTCCAAAATTGACAAAATCGCAGAAATCTCCGAACCGGAAGTGACGTCATCAAAACAAAAAAATGTATACCTAGATTTTTTGAAGTTTTATCAGTCCTGAAAGTTTCATGAAAATCGATCAAGCCGTTTTCGAGAACTCGCGTGCACAAAATATGTAAGAAAAAAATAATAAAAACTGTGGAAAAGAAACCTAAGAATAAAAGAAAGGTCTTCCGCTGAAGACGGAAGACCTTAATAATAAAACAAAATAAAATGTATAACATTTATTTAATTTTTAAAACAATAAAAAAGACCCTGAATAATACTTAATTCAAATAGTTAAAAAAAAAACCATGCATTTTATCAGCAAAAGAATATTACTGAGTAGCACCGTAACTATGCAGTTTTCCTGTTGTTGCTACCTGACTACATTGTACTGTACATGTTTATGATCTTGTGACTTCACTAGATGCACAGACTACCCTGATCTCTCTCTGTCGGTTACCTGTGTAATGTGTGATTTCCTGTTTCGTAGATGATGTATATTTCACAGTTATACAGAACAATGGATTCGTGTTTATTACACAGGTCCAGTCCAAAGACTATTTTTACCTACGTAGCTATTAATAGCTACATAGGTATTTAAACCTACCCAAAGTAGCTATTCTACCTACTTTCTGCTTTACTTGCATTTTGTGGCCAAACGCAGGAACGGCGCAACTTGGTGAGCACTGAATTTCTTGATACAGTCACCTGATGAAGGATATGACAAAACTTTGGCCAAATAAAGTGCCGCGCCACAGCATGATATGCCCGTCAAAAAATTACAATTTTCGTCAACAGTTTAGAGTGCAAGAAAATCAAGTCAACCTTGATTCTAAGATTTCAATGATTTTTCTATTACTTGAAATATTTATCCATCCCCTGTGATGTAGGCATTAATTATAATAAATATTACATCATTGATATATTTCTATGCTGGTTGTGTTAGACCTTGTCAAAAACCAAACATATTAAACAATATCAAATTAGTCTTAACACCTTAATCTGTTCCAAATTAATTTTGAAAAGAAAAGGCTGGCCATCAAATAACATATGCTATAAACTGACCAGCAGTTCTTCTGTCTAATCCCCAAAGGATACAGATAAGACTGCTTGATCAGAGTAATTGAGACAGCTAGCCTTCCTACATTGAACTCATTAATTAATCTTTAACTGGATGCTTGTCTACTCATTACTACCAAGAGATGAATGTGTAGACCTGCACTATCTACCATAATTTTTTTTTAAAAACACTCAAAAGATTTTTTTTGGTTGAGGTTTAATGTCCGAGAGGTTTTAATATGTAATTCATATGGACATGCTGATTCCATCCCATCCAATAAAATTAGTTTTAAAATTAAAAATATTATATAATATCAGATTAGTCTATTAGGCAATATGAAATTAATTTTAATTACTTTTCATCAAATTCATTTTAAAACTTAGGCTAGCCAACAAGAGCTATTCTTAATCCAACAGGCTTACCCATTTGCCCAATACTCAAGGGATTTAGATAACACTGATGCTCTATATGTTAGCTCCTCACACTCAAAACTCATTAATTTCTCTCTAATTTGACATGCAATTTTCTGTTATCAGAATTCTTCTTGACCAGTGCTTGATAATTACACTCATGGGAGAGGTAGGATTTCCCTAACATACATTATTATTATATTTGATATAGATTGCTGTCAAGTATATGCGCTTAAAAAATAAGTATTTTCTTGATTTAACACTTTTTTAATAAGGACAGTGCAATACTCATACATTATTTGGGATGTGTAAATGAATAGTAAAAAGACACATTTTTTTTTTATTTCACTTCAATTAAATGTCACAGTGACCTTGAAATAGGTCGCGACACACCTTCTACCTAAGATACATAAACTGGCCAACTTAGATGATTGTAAGTCTTATAGTATTCTAGTTATAGGCCGGAAAGGATTTTATGATTTTAGGTCAATAAGTACCAGAGATACTTAATTATAGCCACAAAATGTCAAAAGTAGGTCACCATGACCTACTTTTTGGTCATCACTCTCCAAAAACCCAAGATGCATCAACTCACAAATTTTGATGATTCTAAGCCAATAAGTACCAGAGATACTTAAATAAAGCCATAAAATGTCAAAAGTAGGTCACCATGAACTACTTTTTGGTCGTCACTCTCCGAAAACCAAATATGCATCCACTCACAAAGTTTGATGATTCTAAGCCAATAAATACCTAAGATACTTATATATAGCAATAAAATGTCGAAAGTAGGTCATTGTGACCTACATTTTGGTCAACATTTTTCAAAGACCCAAGATGCATCTACTGACAAAGTTTGATGATCGTAGGTCTGAAGGTAATCAAAATATGCGTTTTAAACAATTTGAAAACAAATGTCGGCAAAATTCAAAAAGTTGGTCACAGTGACCTACATTTTCATAAATATGTTTTAAGGTCCCAAGATGCATCAAAGTACAAGAATTGATGGTTCTAATCTCCCAGTGTCTGAAATAATGGGATTTAATGTTTTTAAAAGGATAAGTCATAAAGTTCAAAAACTAGGTCATAGTGACCTACTCTTAAGTTGACATTGTTCGAAGACCCAAGATGCATAAACTGACAAAGTTTGATGATCATAGGCCTTAAAGTGTCCAAAATATGCCTTCAAATCAATTTAAAAACAATGAAATCCCCGCAAAATTTAAAAAGTAGGTCACCATGACCTACTTTTGAGTTAACATGATGTGAAGTCATAAGATGCATCAACTTACAAGATTTGATGATCCTAGTCTTTATAGTAAGCAAAATATACACCTTTTTATTAATTGTAAATTTAGGTCAGCTTTGAAGTGACCTTGAGACCACGCCCTTTGCCCCAGGGTAATTCCCCGTGCAAATTTTCATCTTAGACATATCCTGATCCTTGTATGTAAGTTTGGTGAAAATCTGCCTGGTGGTTATGGAGAAGAAGATTTTTTAGCAACCAGTACTTTTGGTTTTGTTTTCCTGATTATCTCCCCTTGTTTAAGGGTCCCAACCCTTATTTTAGTATAAATGGTAGCCCTTGGGCCAAGGATACCCTGTGACAAATTTGGTACTGATTGGCCAAGGGGTTCTTGAGTTATGGACCATATTCTAAAAAGTTTACGAGCACCGCACAAATGGTCATAACATTAGCTCTTTCAGCCTTTGGCTCAGAAGAGTTAAAAAATCAATGGGCGAACAGCCCCTTTTTTAATCCGCCACTGATCATGTATATGCTATATAAATATAGCCCTTTGATGAGGTCGATCCATAGATATATCGACTTCACAGAAAAGCATATCAATCGAGCACAAAGTGCGAGGTCGATATCCTTTTCTGTGAAGTCGATAAATCTATGGATTGACCGAATTAAAGGGCTACATTTCTTATATTATTTTTTACAAAGATTAACAAAACAAAA